ACTTTTCATTAGCCACATATGCTACAGTAGCTGTTTTAAATAGTGGCTGTACAATGTTGTTAAAAGTTGTCTCTAAGAATTTAAGGTAAATGTATTATGATACAGGAAGATCTAAGAAATAACAAAAGAACCCCATTGTCAGTAGCTTATGAGGTAGATTAAAATAGCATAACCTTGCCCAATACTCAGCATCTATAATAATAAAAGTGTAATATGCTAATTAGACTGGACGTCCTTCTGGACGACCTTCCGGACGAAGGCTGGGCTGTGAGGGAAGCCCGGGTCCCAGGTGCCAGAGGGAAGCCGATGACGGTAGCCAGGGGAAGGAAGGCCTACTCTTGCACGAATTTCATGCATTGGGCCTCCAGTAATAATAGAAGATACTAACAGCAAGGTAATAGCAAAATAAAAATTGTGGTTCAGATAAATTGTTTTGAACTGCCTTTGATTCATTCCTTTTCTAGAACTTACCACAATATTGAATATTCATCCTTGGTTTACACTACAATGAAATGTTCCATCAAGATCTTTTCTGATTGTAGGTAGTGTGTTAAAATGAGAGTAGAATGGGCCGTATGTGGTGTTTGGAAGGTGGAGATGAGAGGTACACATGATGTCATATAGAATTCATGTTTACTCTAGCAGCTCTGATATTCTTAAGAAATGGATAAATGCTGGGCTACCAATAGTGAAGAATGATTTAATCTTTCATTAATGGGTCACACATGGTATAGATATGGACATTTTAGGTATATGTTATATATATATATATGAATGTTCTTGTAGTCCAGTGAAATTAAAGTGGAAAATACGTAGTTAGCAGTGATAGGAGCAGCATGTAGCAGAGCAGCTCTAAATCAGTTTCAGTTATTAATAAAGGTAAAGAAAAATAATTGTGCCTATTCCTTTTTCTTATTTAGGGCTTTTCCTCTCAATCTGACATCACTTTATTTCAAATTCATTGTAAGACAGGAAGAACATTGAGATAGTATCAAAACCCACTTCCTTTTATGTACAAAAATAAAGAGCTCTGACAGCAAAACTGATACTTCTAGTTGAAAATTGATAGAAACTCTCTTGATATAGTTGTACCTTTCAGCCAAATAGGAATAGAGAACAGAACTTTGAAATTCAGCCCAATATTAAAACTAGTTTATTAATTTCCATGTAAAGTGGAAGAACTTAGAAGCTTGTAGTATTTAGTTCTTAATTTTCAGACAGGAAACAATGTTCAGAGAAGAGCTTTATGAAATTCCAAGCCAAGGTAAGGTCGAATGACTCCAGAAAAATGATTAAAATCAACTTTTTCTGTTGCTTTTTTGGTAGGATCATAGCTAAGTAAGTCTATGCCTTTACCCCAAAATAAAATATAAATACTGCAGCATGAAGCAACTGCAGAAATATTTTTTATCTTCTAAAAGAAACAAGTTTTTCAGATTTTAGTCTGCTTTTAAAGTGTCTTAAGAAAAACATTAAATGTGAAATGTATCTTTTCACCTACAAGAAATTACTAGTTCTTTCCAGGAGCATGACCTAATGTTAATTTTACTGCTTGTCCAGAACTATTTTAAATCAGGAATTTGCTATATATTGTGTTTTTAGTTGAAATACCATAGTCCTCCCTGTCCTCTAACATTTATATTTATATATATATGTTAAGTTGCTGAATGGGGATGATTATGTATAGAAATATCTCCTTTAAAAAGGATACTAGGGAGAAAAACTCCTTTGGGCAAAGTTAACTTATGTGGGGAGAGACCTTTGGGAGAGATGTTCTCTTTCTCTTCTGGAGTGGTTGGTGGCTGAGTTGGGAGGTTTTAGCTCTGTCATGTATTAAAGATGGCTACACTATTAGGACTTGGATAATTAGGGTACCCAGAAGCAAGGGAAGGTATTCAGGTATGGCCTCTCCATGTTTGATTATGGGACTGTTTGAATATCACGAGGAGCTAGTCTGCCCAGTTTGGAGTAGACTACACTTGCTGTGGGAAGAAGGGGCTTAGAACGGTAACAGTCTTCTCCTGGAAATGAAATTCCCCTAAAAAAGACTGTCCTGTAAATAAAAACTTTCCCTCTAAATAAGAACTTTCCCTCTAGAGAAGGATTTAACCTTTTTGAAGATTAAAACAATTTTGGAAACTTCATTTGCTATAATTGTTTTAACCATTCATCCTTCATCTATATAACGCTAAGTTTTAATTTTTATATTACTGCTTCATTATTTCTGATACCATCTAATATTTCAGAGGGGCCCATTGAATGTTTTTAGGAGAAAATAAAATGTCAGTGATTATTTACTAAAGCTTTAAATTCAAATGTATTTAGTATGAATAGTCCATATCCTGTTGATGTTACTCAATATAATAACCATCCATTGAAATGGGAAATTCTCAGTGCTATAATATATCTGAAAAGCAGTATCTTCTGCACATATATTCAGTGAGTGGTACATAAATATTCAACAACCTGAAACTACTTTAGTAAATTATGCAAAACTGGCTTTAATGAACACCAAGTTTTAAATGTTTTTCTGAAACCACTTTAGTTTTCTCCACTAGGTTGCT